GTAACGGGGCTGCTGCCCCCCTGCAGCCCCTCCTGCCTCAGAACAATGGGGCTCCCTCCCGCTCTGCATGGGGATGCAGGGCTGGTGCTGCCAGGAGCTCCAGAGCATCCAACACTGCTCAGAGAGAGGCACTGGTTCTCATTCAGCAGCAGCAACGCCCCCACCACAGCTCAGAGCAGATATTCCATGCCCAAGTGAGCAGGGGAGGCATCACAAAGCACTTCCATGCCCGAGGGCTCAGCCTGGCCAGACTCCTGTGGGCACAGCACAGCAGCACCTGTGCTCTCACACCCCAGCTCCACCAGCCCCAGCCCCACCGGTACCTTGCACTTGAAGGGCTTCACAGGCGAGTGCACGATCATGTGGGTCTTGAGCGTCTGCTTCTGCACGAAGGTCTTGAAGCAGATGTGGCACTGGTAGGGCCGGACGCTGGTGTGGATCAGCATGTGCCTCTTCATGTTGGCCTGCAGGGTGAACTCCCGCCCGCACACCTCACACTTGAACTCCTTCACGCCCTGCTGGGGGGAGAGCTCGGGCAGACCCCTGGCACCGGGCACACGAGGGGTGCCAGGAGTGGAGAAGGGACCCCATGGGCAAGGGACGGGCTCCTTGTGCTGAGCACAGCACGGTGCGTATCTGAGAGCCCAGCCTGGCCTGAGCCCAGCAACGTGCAGGGGCTGTGGGTGGGGGCTGGACAGGCTCTGTAAGTGCAGCTGAGGGCCAGCTCTGCTCTGGGGCTCAGCCCAATTGCTCCCCATTAACGAGCCCAAGGAAAAGGGCAAGTACCCCCACACACAGCCTGCCCAGAGGGGCGGTGACAGCTCCCAGACAGGGCTCCCCACATTACCCTGCAGCAGGTCTGAAACTGCCTCCCTGAGGAAGGGAAGCCCCAGAAGGGCAGGGGCTGGGTGCCAGGGATCCCCTCACTGCATGTCAGTGACCCCAGCTAACGCCAGCCACAGGTGCTACTGCCCACCTGCACCACCCACCTGCCCCCCGAGACTGGGGGCGCTGGGACACTCTCCTCCACCAGCACCCGCATGCAGAGCTGGCACATCTCCTCTGGGCACGATGAGGGCAGCACCCCAGAGGAGCCTGAGCCCCTACCTTGTGCGTGAGCGAGTGCTGCTTGAGGTGGTGGATCTGGCTGAACTCCATGCCGCACTCGGTGCAGACAAAGGGCCGCACGTTCTGGTGCTTCAGCATGTGGTTCTGCAGCTGGCTGCGGTAGTGGAAGGACTTGCTGCACTCCAGGCACTGGTAGAGCGTGGGGCCCTGGTGCGTGGCCAGGTGCCGCTTCAGCTGGGTGAGCGTGGAGAAGTCCAGGCCGCACTCCACGCACACGTGGCAGCGCCCGCTCTCGTGCTTCACCTCGTGCGCCTTCAGCTCGCTGGGGTAGGCGAAGCCGCGGCCGCAGAAGCGGCAGCTGTAGGGCTTGATGTCGGTGTGCAGCAGCATGTGCCGCTTCAGGTGGCTGGTCTGCGTGAAGGCTTTGCTGCACACCCCGCACTTGTGGGGCCGCGTGCCCTGGTGGGTCAGCAGGTGGGTCTGCAGGTGGCTGGGCTGCTTGAACAGCTTGTTGCAGTGCGGGCAGGAGTGGGGCTTGATGCCGTTGTGGCCCAGGATGTGGGTCACCAGGTTGTACTTGGAGGTGTAGGACTTCTCGCACATGCGGCACTGCCAGCGCTTCTGGCGGTCGCCCGCCTCCACCAGGTAGGAGTCATCGATCTGCACGTTGATGTCCAGCCGGTCCAGCTGCGCCTTCCTGCTGTGCTCGCTGGTGCCGCCGGCCGCCTCCAGCTCGCCCGGCTCCTGCCAGACACAGCCCTGCTCGCTCTTCACCTGCTCGGGGGACGCCGGCGCGGGGGCCTCGGCCACCCCGGGGGACGGAGCCCCCGCCTCGAAGGTGCCCGCGGTTTGTGGGGCCCCCCCGGTGCCGCCGGCCGGGTCGCTGCCCCTGCGCCGGCGCTCGCTGCCCTCCGGCTCCCGGTGCCGGCGCAGGTGCCGCAGCCGCCGGGGCTTCCTGCTGAAGGTGCCCAGGTCGATCATCTTCACGGCCCCGCTCTGCACCGCCGGCTCCTGGCTGGGCTCTGGGGGCTGCGGCGCGTGGCCGTGCTGCCCCTCGCCCTCCTCGTCCCCGGGCACCGACGCGCTGTACGGCGGCTCAGCCTCCACCTCGGCCTTCTCACTCTTGACCTTGGGCATCAGCCTCACGGGCGGCCTCTTCCTCCTGCGGGCATGCTTCTCCAGGGAGCAGTCTGCTTCCAGGGCGTCCTCGTCCTGCCCATCCCCAGGCACCTGCTCCTCTCCCTCGGGCTCCCCCGGCTCCGCGGCGGCATTGTCCAGCTGCTCCCCGGCCAGCCCCGGGAAGAAGCCGGTGGGGGTGACGGTGGCGCCGAGCAGCTCATTGTCGGACACCAGGCCCAGCACGGCAGCCTGTGCCAGGGACAGCACCACCACGGCGTCCGTCTGCGTCCCGCACTCGCTGAACCGATCCATCTCTCGCCGCCGGCCTACGCTGTCATGGCTGAGGGGGAGAGACACGGCCCTGAGCCCCTGGCACCCGCCAGCACGGACACCGTGCTCAGGGGCTCAGCCAGCCCTCACTGCCCTCCCCAGGGAACCGCAGCCCCGCAGCGGTGATGTCCCCAGCACCACAGAGCCCAGGATGTGGGGACACAGCGGCCCCAGGGCTTCCCACTGTAGGGCTGGGGCGAGGAGGGGAGCTGGGATCCGTGCCCGCCTTCAGCCTCTCCGGATGGGCTGTTACTCTGGCTGCTTGCGTGCCCTCAGGCTCCTAGAGTGACTCCAGGGAACCCAACAGTTTGGGAACAGCTGAGTGTGTGAGTGTGGCTCTGAGCCCCAGCAGGAGCAGCAACAGCACAGGGAGCATGAGGGACGGGGCCCAGACCCACCCGGACAGAGCCTGGCAGTGGGGCTGGCACAGGCAGGGCTGTGCTGGCTCAGCCCTGGAGGCTGGCACGCTCACCCAGTGCCACCACAGCACCCTCCCCCAGTGGGGACAGCCAGGGGCTGCCGCTTCCTCCTGCTGAAGGAGTGTTCTCCTAAATACAATTATGCCTGCAGCTACAACAAAGAAATCTTGCGGGGGAGGTAAAACGGATAAATTCTGAGCCGGATCCTGTCACAGTCCCAGGAGAACCCCAGAGCATGAGGAGATCGTGGGATGAACCTCCACCTTGGAGAAGGGAAAGCCCACAGCGCTGGGCAGCATCCCTGCAGCCAGCTCGGCTAGAGGGACACCGAGCATGGCTGGGATGTCGGCCTCTCTCTCCGTGCTGCAGGCAGCTCCTGCTCCTGCCCAGCCCAGGAGTGTCCCCTCATGCCACTGCCCTGCGCCCCCAAACACAGCACATGGCAGGGGAGGGGATGGGGAAGGGACGGAATGGGGAAGGTCCAAACCAGAGCGAGAAAAGACAGAGAAGGGAGCAGCACCAAGCACAGGGGCCTGGCTGCCCGCAGACAGGGTACCGGGTATCCGGGGTACCGGGTCCCTCCTCAGCTCCCTGCCATCTGCTGTGCCACCGCGGGGCTGGCACTGGGCACAGCACGGGGGGCTCCTGGGCCCGGGTCAGGGGGAGCCGGGGCCGGGACCGTACCCAGGCCAGAGCTGCCGGGGGAAGGTCTCAGCCAGGTACCCCGCCTGCCCGGGCACCCCTTCCTTCCCGGCGGGCAGGGACACAGCGGAGGGGACATGGAGAGGAAGAGGATGGGGGCGGGAGGAGGAGGAGGAGGAAGGGGATGAGGGGAGCACCAGTGCGGAGGCAGCGAAACAAAGCGCGGAGTGGGGGAGGGCGGCGGCGGGAAGAGGAG